GCCAAGTTGCCCAGGCGGGTCCCAAACCTGCGGGCTCAGGCAATCCACTCACCTCAGTCTCCCGAAGCGCGGGATTACAGGCTGGGCCACTGAGCCCGGCCTGTATTTCAGTTTTTGAGTCAGTCTCACTTCTGTCACCCAGGCTGGAGTGCAGTGGCACTCATGGCCACTGCAGCCTCAACCTGCTGGACTGAAGTGAGCCTTCTGCCTCAGCCTCCCAAGTAACTGGAACTACAGGAATGTGCCATCACACCCGGCTAATTTTTTGATTTATTGTAGAGATGAGGGCTTGCCAAGTTGCCTAGGCTGGTCTTGAACCCCTGGGCTCAGGCAATCCTCTCGCCTCTGCCTCCCAAAGTGCTGGAATTACAGGCGTAAGCCACTGTACCCAGCTTTTGTCTATATTTTAAAACCAAAATACACCAAGCAGGAACTACCAATGCACTTTGGGAGGCAGCATGAGTGAACCCATCTCACCTGCAAGGTTGTTTCTGAGGCACCCACTGGATGTGCTGACACACTGTAGGAAATGCTACCCTCCAAATGCACTGAACTCATGGTACCTCTAGGAAGAAATCCTTGTCACACAGTAACCTAGCTTCTCAACTACATAAACCGTCATCAAAGTCTAGAAAGGTAGGTTTGCTTGTTTGCTTGTTTTCAGTCAATTCACCTATGCACATCCCTCTGCAGAGGTGAGAACTGAATCCTTCCTGATCGAAGACCGTGCTCTTCTCTGCTCTGGAGAGGACTGTGATTTGGCACTGCTCGGACTGCAAATGCCGGTCATTTTTCCTCCGAAGGATGAGTTACATAATGTTCAGTTACTGGCAAGTTTTTTTTTAAGTCTCCATGAAACAGTAAAAATGCTTTGGTCTGCTTCACATCCTGGAATTCAACAGAGCCGGATTTGAATCCAGCCCTGAGACTTGCTGGCTACACAATTTTGAGTTACTTAATCTGAATCTCATTTTCTCTCTGAAATGGGGATGCCTACTCTCCCCCAAAATTATGCAGATGAGAACATTCACAGCACCCAGTGTTTCTCTACCTTCTTGCTGCGTCACTTGCCAAGCACCTTAAACTGACCCTTCACTGCCTGCCACTCCGCCAGCTAGTTTTTATAACGTTTCTATTATTTGCAGGGCCAGTTCATTATTTCTTGTCTCTTAAGAGCATCTGCCTCCCTTTATTAGTCCCTGAATAGCTTCAGAATGCTATGATCATAGTTTACAGGAAGACTTTACAGAGAAGCACAGGGGCAGAACCCCTATGGGAGGCAGCAGGACTGAAACGGCTGGCCTAATATCTGGGGCAGCCCCAGGCCTTGGTGACATCTCCTAGTAGCCAGCTTGCACAGGCGACACCGAAGCCTTGGCCCCCTCTGGTGGTGACTGGCAATCACAGTCAGACATGCTTCGCAACTAGGACAGGCAAGCTTGAGTACACAGAAGTCACATAAGCACGGCGTTTTCCTAGACCGTCTTTACTTGAAGATTTTTTGGGAGAAAAAAGTAGGCAGCAAAACATTTTTATGTTAAAACAAACGCAGATAATATTGAATAGTATATAAAATTTACATTACTTTTGGAGACAAAGAAAGAGACATCAAAGACATTGTCAGCTAAGCTACTCACGAACTTCAGGTTGTATTCCCAAACCCTGGGGGAGGGAGGAGACCCCTGCATGCTCACTCGACCTAATATCATGGGCGCTGCTGCTTGGAAGGAGAAGTCTCAGAAGCAGCTCACTCATTTGGCAACGTCCATGGGTTATTTAAATAAGTGAAACCATAGGCTTTCACGTCTTAGAGCATTTTACTAGCTTTGGAAAAGGTCTGAGTAAATAGAAGCTTTATGCTTGAGCTGAAAAGTGATTTCTGTCCTCCAATGAATGGTAGCATGCCTGGCTGAGGGTATGACATGCGAGGCAGTCGACAGCTGAGACCCCGTGGACTAAGCCCACATTACCAGTGGACTGATATACTTCCGAGGCTGTCATCAGAAACGAGAAAGGAACTACTCACCTGGTGCAACAGTAACGAAAAGGAGGCACAACAAAAAGCAGAACCAAAGGTGACGTACAATGAGAACCACAGACTGATGCCACTTAGGGACTGGCAGCCAAACAGCCCTTGGCAACGGGCACTTCTGCAGCGGCACTTGTTCTTCATATTTTATGTGAAAACTGTAACTTCTTTTGGGGAAAAAGCTCCACTCCTCCACTTCTTTCGCAACTCTTGCTTGTTCTCTGTCATTGTCCCTTTTCTTGGCTGGTGGTGACACTACTTTTTGCAATAATAGCCTGAAGGTGCAGATGTCTCACGGAGAGATTTTCTAGGGTCATTTAGCAACCACTGTCCTTTTCAAGGTTAATCAAGTGAACTTAGAAACATATACTAGGGACAGATACTGGTGGATGCAGCTGGCTTTTTCGGCTCTACCCAAGAAAAGGTAATTCATCACCTCGCACATAGTTGGCCTTATTAATTTTCTAAAGTTTTACAGAATTATTTCTCTTTCTTCTTGGGATTCTACTCTTTATTTTAGAGCTTTAAGTGGAGACTCAAATCCCATGACAACCTGGCTGTTCCTTTAGGAAAATGTAACTTTTTTCCTTTCTTTTTCTGTAAAATAAGAATCCGGGGCAAAAATGTCCCATTTCAGAGTAACTAAAGGGAGCATATCAGTGGTAAATTATGTTGTGCTGGGAAAAAGAATAAAAAAGGCAGACACCAAACACCTCCATTTCCCAAGATTAAATGATTATTAAAAAAGCACGCCGTACTGTATAGAAATCAATATTCTCTCCCATAATTCTGTGCATCTGGGACTATAGAAATGTCACTGTCCCTGCCCCACATCTTCAAATTAACATTCTCAGGTCACAACAATAAGTCTTCCCAAAGGGGACTTTCCGGAAAAATAAGCTATTTCCTCGGCTCATATTGCCCTGGAAAAAAAAAAAACATATACACAGATAATGTCTAGCATGAAGACGAGATCAACCAATCCAAATCAGATGCAAATGGATGTGATTCTGGGAGACGTGACTAAATGACCAAGACCAAACCAGGACTATCACTAAAGAACAGGGATGTGGATTCTCTGACAGGCTGAGCTGCTGTGGAGTTAACTACAATGTCTCCTCATCGATAAGGCAAGAATTTCTTACCTATTTACACAGAACGCCCAGCAAGAATGCTGCCTTGGCCACTTTCTAGCAGGTTATCAAGTGAGGCGATATTTGTAAAGCACTTAAAGCAGTGCCTAATGCTCAGCAAGTGCTTTTATATACATACGTATATTTTTTGAGCCGGAGTCTCACTCTGTTGCTCAGGCTGGAGTGCAGTGGCATGCTCATGGCCACCACAGCCTTGACCTGCTGGGCTCAGGCCATCCTTCCGCCTCAGCCTTCCAAGTAGCTGGAACTACAGGTGTGCGCTATCATGCCCGGCTGATTTTTGATTTATTGTAGAGACGAAGTCTCACCAAGTTGCCTGGGTGGGTCTTCAACCCGTGGGCTCAGACAATCCACTCACCTCAGCCTCCCGAAGTGCTGGGATTACAGGCTGAGCCACTGAGCCCGGCCAATATTTTTGATTTATTGTAGAGATGAGGTCTCGCCAAGTTGACCAGACAGGTTTCGAATCTCTGGACTCAGGCAATCCTCTCCCCTCGGCATCCCAAAGTGCTGTGATTACAGGCTTGAACCACCACGCCTGGCCTTATACATATATTTTTAATGAAATAGTCGGGTTTCTCAGTTCTCATAAAATCTTACAATTACAGTAATAACATTCTGAGTGCAACAGAGTATGAGCTCAAGCATAAATCCCGACTCTCAGCTGGGCTCGGTGGCCCAGCCTGTAATCCTACGCCTTTGGGAGGCTGAGGTGAGTGGATTGCCTGAGCCCGCGGGTTCGAGATCCACCTGGGCAACTTGGCGAGACCTCATCTCTACAATAAATCAAAAAATCAGTCGGGCGTGGTATCACGCTCCTGTAATTCTGGCTACTTGGAAGGCTGAGAGGGAAGGATCGCCGGAGCCCAGCAGGTTGAGGGTGCGGTGGCTGGGAGTGGCCACTGCACTCCAGTCTGCATGACAGAGTGAGACTCCAACTCAAAAAAAATAAAACCCCCAACTCTCCCAAACAAGCTGTGTGACCTTGGGCTATGTAATTGGCATTAACCTGCACTATGCCCCAGTTTCTCTGTCTGTGAAGTAGGATGATGAGAATAGTATCTGTCCTCATAACAGTTATTGTGAGGATGACATGAGCAGACGCAAGGCAAGGGCTCGGCACGATATCTGGTATACAGCAGGTGCTAAGTCAAGATGTGCTGCAGGCTTTAAGCACCTCGCCTACAGGATTAACCATTCCCTCGGAAAAGCATACCTGATGGCCTAATCCATTTTCTATCTGCTCTCTTCTTATAACGGGGTTAGACAGGAAATAGGGAAATAAAGGTCATCGTTCCTTTTTTCTCTTTTTCTGAGTAAGTCTCACTCTGTTGCCTAGGTGACCCTTCCACCTCAGCCTCCTGAGTAATTGGGACTATGGACATGTGCCACCATGCCCAGCCAATTTTTGTGTTTTTTGTAGAGGCGAGGTCCTGCTATAATGCCAAGTCTGGTCTGAAACTCCAGACTCAGGCAGTCCTCCTGCCCTGACCTCCCAAAGTGCTGGGATTATAGGTGTGAGCCAGTGCGCCTGGCCCAGGTTTACATTTAAATGGGGACCCACACTCTGTGACTGTTCAGTAAAAAGTATAAAACTCAGAGTGAAGCCCAGAATGTTCATGGTAGGTCTGTACCAAAGTCACTCAGGGGTTCTAGCTCAAATTCACGGTGGGGTTTGCTGGGTGTGCAAACTGAGCAAAAGCAACCACAAGGGACTCCGGCCTCTGCATTCAGAGTGGGGACGCCTGAACTCTGTGAACAACGGCCTTTCTCATACGTGGCACTAGTGCACAGACTAACACAACAAAGAGCTGCTTTATACACTTTGTTCCGCAAGCCTTCAAAAAGTGGTTCCCACTCAAAAACAGCTTTAATCTGATGGCCATTTTAAGCGATCTCAAGCTAAATTTAGCGCACAGTCCATCTGTTTCCCCCCCCCCCGCCAAGAGATGGGTCTTGCTGTGTTGTCCAGGCTGGCTGCAAATTCCCGGGCTCAAGCGATTCTCTCACTTCAGCCTCCAGAGTGGCTGGGAACTACAGATGTGAGCCACCACGTCTGACCATTATTTTGTTTTGTAAGCTATTTTTAATTTAAAAAAATATTTTTTTGAGTCACAGTCTCACTTGTTTGCCCAGGCTGCAGTGTAGTGGCACGCTCACAGCCACCACAGCCTTGACTTGCTGGGTTCAAGTAATCCTTCCACCTCAGCCTTCCAAGGAGCTGGAACTACAGAGGTGCACCACCATGCCTGGCTAATTTTTTGATTTATTGTAGAGATGAGGTCTCACCAAGTTGCCCAGGCTGGTCTTGAACCCCTGGGCTCAGGCAATCCTCTAGGATCTACCTTCCCAAAGCGTTGGGATTACAGGCATGAGTCACTGTGCCTGGGCTGCATTTTATTTTCTAATGAATCTCTGCCTAGATTGATAAAAAATTTTTGGTTGCAGATTACATACCTCACAATAATAACAAATCATTGATTGGAATCCACTAACAAGACTCTTATATGACCAACTTTGTCGGCCAGGCTCGGTGGCTCAGCCTGTAATTCTAGCACTTTGGGAGGCTGAGGCAAGTGGACTGCCTGAGCCTGCAGGCTCGAGACCAGCCCAGGCAACTTGGTGAGACCTTACCTCTGCAATAAAAAAAAAAAAAAATCAGCGGGTGTGGTAGCGCATACCTGTTGTTCTGGATACTTGGAAGGATGAGGCTGAAAGATCGCCCAAGTCCAGTAGGTCAATGCTGGAGTGGCCGTGAGCATGCGTGCCACTGTCCTCCAGCCTGGGAGACAGACTCCAACTCAAAAAAAAAAAGACCAACTTTGTCAACCCATTATTACAAATAAATAGTCAAAAATAATTTTTTTCGCTGGGCTTGGTGGCTCAGCCTGTAATCCCAGCACTTTGAAAGGCCGAGGTGAGTGGATTGCCTGAGGCCGCGGGTTCGAGACCCAACTAGGCAACTTGGCGAGACCTTATCTCTACAGTAAATCAAAAATTAGCCGGGCGTGGTAGTGCGCGCCTGTAGTTCCAGCTACTTGGAAGGCTGAGGCGGAAGGATCACTGGAGCCCAGCAGGTCAAGGCTGCAGTGGCTGGTAGCGGCCACTACACTCCAATCTGAGTGACAGAGTGAGACTCCAACTCAAAAAAAATAAAAAAATAAATAAATAAAAATAATAATAATTTTTTTCAGTTTTCTCATCTATTCTGTGGGGGAAACATTTAAATATATAAGGATATTCTGAGGAGTTAAAAAAAAAAGGCGGCCAGGCTCGGTGGCTCAGCCTGTAATCCCAGCATTTTGGGAGGCCGAGGTGAATGGATTGTCTGAGCCCACGGGTTCAAGACCTGCCTGGGCAACTTGGCAAGACCTCATCTCTACAATAAATCAAAAACTAGCCGGGTGTGGTAGCGTGTGCCTGTAGTTCCAGTTACTTGGAAGGCTGAGGTGGAAGGATCACCGGAGCCCAGCAGGTCGAGGGTGCAGTGGCCGAGAGCGGCCACTACACTCCAGTCTGGGTGACAGAGTGAGACTCTAACTCAAAAAAAAAAAAAAAAAAAAAAGGTAAATTTGGGCCAGGTGAGATAGCTCAGGACTATAATCCCAGAGGCCAAGGCAGGAGGATTACCTGAGACCAGGAGTTTTAGATAGGCTTGGGCAATACAGCAAGATTCTGTCACTACAAGGAAAAAAAAAACCAACCTGGTGTGGTGGCTTGTGCCTACAATCCTAGCTACCCAGGAGGCTAGAGGGAAGACTGCTTGAGTCCAGGAGTTTGAGGCTGCAGTGAACTATGATCATGCCTCTGTACTCCAGCCTGGGTAACTGAGACTCTGTCTCAAAAACAAAAAAAAGAGTTTGGAAAAAAAAGTCTTAAAATCATTTTAACAACCAAGATAATTATCTATCTATCTAATTATCTATCTACCAGGACCCTATCAAATGTGATTGCTCAAATAGTTTTTTTTTTTATTTTATTGAGTTGGAGTCTCACTCTGTCGCCCAGACTGGAGTGCAGTGGCCGCTCCCGGCCACCGCAGCCTCGACCTGCTGGGCTCCGGCGATCCTTCTGCCTCAGCCTTCCAAGTACCCGGAATTACAGGCATGCGCTACCATGCCTGGCTGATTTTTTGATTTATTGTAGAGATGAGGTCTCGCTGCCCAGGTGGGTCTCGAACCCGCGGGCTCAGGCAATCTGCTGACCTCAGCCTCCCAAAGGTGCGGGATTACAGGCTGAGCCACTGAGCCTGGCCCAAATGGCTTTTAAATCTCCTCTAGAGATTCTTACTTTTCATTACCCTTGTATCACATTTTACTATTATGCCAGAGTGATATACAAAACATTGTGAAGTATACATTACTTGGCAGCTAAAGAGTGAGATACAGAAGTTAATTTGGGAGTCCTGAGACACTATTTAAGAAAATAAACTGACCAGGAGCAGTAGCTCACGCCTGTAATCCCAACACTTCAGAAGGCAGAAGTGGGAGAATCACTTGAGATCTGGAGTTCGAGACCAACTTGGGCAACAAAGCGAGACCCTGTCTCTACAAAAAATTTAAAGACTAGCTGGTGTGGTGGCACCTGTCTGTAGTCTCAGTTACTTGAGAAGCTGAGGCAGGAGCATCACTTGAGCCCAAGAGTTCGAGGCTGCAGTGACCTATAATTATACCACTACAGTCCAGTCTGGGCAAGAGAGCCTCTTTGGAAAAAATAAAAAATATAAACAAAAGCAAAAAAAAGAGAGACAGAGAGAAAAAAATACCTCTTTTTGTAGCATGCACCAGCAATCTATCCAAGAAGAATATACTGGAGAGTAAGGAGGGCACCCACCGGCAAGCCTAGGATAGAAAAGAACATCAGTTATTCATGTTAATACTTCCAAAACATTCTCTCAAGAGGCTGATAAACCCCTGACAAAATTTCCTGTGTTAAGAGGCAGTTTTAGTTCTAATGAAACAAATTAACTGACATAGGGGAAAGACTCAATTTCCAGAGGGTTTCCTCCCATTATGGCTATGTTTCTCAACAACTAAACCCAAACTTCGATCTTCTTTTCTTTTTTTTTGAGTTGGAGTCTCACTCTGTCGCCCAGACTGGAGTGCAGTGGCCGCTCCCGGCCACCGCAGCCTCAACCTTCTAGGCTCCGGCGATCCTCCCGCCTCAGCCTTTCCTAGTAGCTGGAACTACAGGTGTGCGCTACCACGCCCGGCTAATTTTTTTTGATTTATTGTAGAGACGAGGTCTCACCAAGTTGCCCAGGCGGGTCTCGAGCCCGCGAGCTAGGCAATCTACTCACCTCAGCCTTCCCAAAGTGCTGGGATTACAGGCTGAGCCACCGAGCCCGGCCTCGATCTTATTTTCTAAAGTACTTAGGATTTTCCTTTGTGAACATATGAAACTCTAGAACACAGCAATTTTATGATTAAAAAGCAGGGAAGAGGCGGAGGCAAGAGGATTACCTGAGTCCAGGAGTTCGAGAAAAGCCTGAGCAACATGGCGAGACCTCATCTCTACAATAAATCAAAAAACCAGCTGGGCTTCGTGGCGCATGCCTGTGGTCCCAGCTACATGAATGGTTGAGGCAGGAAGGATCGCCTGAGCCTAGCAGGTTGAGGCTGCATTGACTATGAGCATGTCACTGCACTCTAGCCTGGGCAAAAGAATGAAAGGCCAACTCAAAAAAAAAAAAAAAAAAAAAGCAGGGAAAGGGACCTAAAATATAACTGATGCTCACAAAGAACCTAAATATGACAACTGGAGGTGGTAACAATAAGTTCCATATGGAAGGTGAGATAATTACCAAATCATTCCATTTTGTCATCTTTCTTTAATTTGATTTTTACTTTTTTGAATTAGAGTTTTATTCTGTTGCCCAGCCACCATGCCCAGCTATTCTCTTTTCCATGAAAGTGATAAAAGGTGCCGGGTATGGTGGCTCACACCTGTAATCCCAGCACTTTGGGAGGTGGAGGCGAGAGGATTGCCTGAGCTCAGGGGTTTAAGATAAGCCTGGGCAACTTGGTGAGACCTCCTCGTCTCTACAATAAATAAAAAAATTAGCTGGGCATGGTGAAACATACCTGTAGTTCCAGCTACTTGGAAGGTTCAGGTGGAAGGATCGCCTGAGCCCAGCTGGTAGAGGCTGCAGTGGCCATGAGCGTGTCACTGCACTCCAGCCTGGGCGACAGAGTGAGACTCCAACTCAGAAAAAAAGAAAAAGAAAGATCCCAGCCGGGTATGGTGACTCATGCCTGTAAACATAGCATGTTGGGAGGTGGAGGCAAGAGGACTACTTGAACTCATAGGTTCAAGACCAGACTGGGCAACATGGTGAAACTTTGTCTCTACAATAAATCAAATTACCGGGCATGGTGGCACAAGCTTGTAGTTCCAATTACTTGGAAGGCTGAGGCAGAAGGATTGCCTGAGCCCAGCAGGTCAAGGCTGTGGTGACCATGAGTGTGCCATAGCACTCTAGCCTGGGCAGCAAGATTGAGATTCCAACTCAAGGAAAAAAAAAAAAGAAAAAGAAAAGAGAACAAAGATTTGAAAAAATGATAAAATGTACCAATTTGCTAATTATTTCACCTTCTTCAGGATAGGACCTAGAATCCTGGCAAGTACACATTAATTGTAGGTGCTTGAGAGATATCATTTATGCCCTCCTCTATTCCAAAAAAAGACATGAAATAGGTGCTTAGATACATAGGTTGGGGGCTGGGCTCGGTGGCTCAGCCTGTAATCCCAGCACTTTGGGAGACTGAGGCAAGTGGATTGCCTGAACCCGTGGGTTCGTGACCAGCCTGTAATCCCAGCACTTTGGGAGCCTGAGGCGAGTGGACTGTCTGAGCCCACAGGTTCGAGAACAGCCTGGGCAACTTGGTGAAAACTCATCTCTATAATAAAAAATAAATTAGCCAGGTGTGGTAGCACACGCCTGTAGTTCCAGCTACTTGGAAGGCTGAGGTGGAAGGATCGCTGGAGTCCAGCAGGTTGATGCTGAGTGAGTGTGCCACTGCACTCCAGCCTGGGTGACAGAGTGAGACTCCAACTCAAAAAGTAAAAAAAAAAAGAAATATAAATTAAGGCTACTGTTGCATGGGATGGACAGAGAAAAATATCAGGGATTTAATACTGGCATCAATTGTACTGCTCTTTTTTTTTTTTGAGACAGGATCTCACTTTGTCATCCTAGCTAGAGTGCAGTAGTGTGATCATAGTTCACTGCAGGCTCAAACTCCTGGGTTCCAACAATCCTCCTGTTGTTTTATTTATTTTTTATAGAGACAGGGTCTTGCTATGGTGCCCAGGCTGGTCTTGAATTCCTGGCCTCAAGTCATCGTCCCACTTTGACCTCCAAAGAATGTTGGGATTACAGGTGTGAGCCACCACACCTGGCCCTCAATTGTACTTTTCTTTCTCAAATTTCTAGCAGGACTGCTCTGCCTGTTAGGCATACAGGTTACAGGTAGCAACCTACGGCGCTAAAAAGTAAAAGTACTTACCCACAGTTGTTGACAGCCATAAGATTAGAGACAAGCACAAAGGGATAGGTCAACATACTGGCAAAAAACTGTAAAAGAATAAAAAGATAGCTAAGTTATTAGGTCATTCCTAGTCTTCATTATTTTTTTCCTTCTTTTAAGGGCCTAGTCACTTTGGTGAAATACTCCAACACTGGTCTTGCTTTCTCAGGACCCCTCACAAGACTAAGTTACATACTTCTGAGCCTGGAGATACTTCCTCCCCCTAACATTAAATCAAAAATTTAAAAGAAGACCTCCCTGACCCTGTGACTGAGTCGTGATTCAAATGAGACTCAACAATGGTACCTAGGAGAAAAAGGATACCCCCTTCGAAAGCTGAACAGCATCAAATCCCATGGGCTGTTATGCTGCAGTGAGGCAGAAGCTCTCTATGCTATTCGTTTTTTCCCCCACACGTACATCAATGGTTCCTCTGAGGACTGTGTTATTCTTACTTTTTTTTTTTTTTTTTTTTTTTTTTGAGTTGGAGTCTCACTCTGTCGCCCAGACTGGAGTGCAGTGGCCACTCCCGGTTACTGCAGCCTCGACCTGCTGGGCTCCGGCGATCCTTCCGCCTCAGCCTTCCGAGTAGCCAGAATTACAGGCATGCGCTACCACGCCCGGCTGATTTTTTGATTTGTTGTAAAGATGAGGTCTCACTGCCCAGGCAGGTCTCGAACCCGTGGGCTCAGGTAATCCACTCACCTCAGCCTCCCAAAGGTGCGGGATTACAGGCTGAGCCACCGAGCCCAGCTGTTATTCTTACTTTTGACAAACTAACAAATTTGAGGGCGATTTCTCAGCAAGACATCTATTTACCTTAACTTGGTGATGACACAGGTTAGATTTAAAAGAAAAAACACACCTATTCCTAGAAGGTTAAAATAAATTTTAAAAACTCACTCCTGTGACAGCTTGGGAATAACTCTTCATTTCATTCATGGTGGAAACCTAAAAAACAGAAGAGACTTAAGTAACTGCCCACAAACATATCAATATATTCTGTCTCTAAATTATCAGTTTCTCTAATAGCTTGAAAAGTAATTAAGGACAAAAACATAAAATACTGATTATGAGAATAAAAAGTGGTCAGAATGACCAAACCTGAGTCAACATTAACAGCAAATTCGTATTAGACTAAAATGGTTCAGGAACAAATGTAATAGCTTCAGAAACTCAAAAACAAAAGAAAATGAGATTGGAAATCTTTTCCCATGTTCTAGAAATATAGTCCCTGAAAAATGACATTTATAGTATATGCAAGGAACAATTCATTGCTTCGGGTACAGCTTTGCATCAGATGCCTTGGCAGAGATTCATCTCTATACTCAAGAAGCTGACAGCATAGATTTAGTCATACACCCCCTGTTGTGTTCAATTTTTGACCATGCTATGATGCTGCCTATGTACAAAGAAGCCCCAAAACTGCTGAGACGGGGAGACAACTTCTAGACAAGGCTGACTCTCAAAACCTCTGAGGCTGAAGTTTCTGGAAAGCCCAATATAGGAGCCCTCTTTTTTTTTTTTTTGAGTTGGAGTCTCACTCTGTCACCCAGGCTGGAGTGCAGTGACCACTCCCGG